AACACCCAGCACATAATAGATACTCAATAAATATTTGTTCAATAAAGGAATGAATCCTGGCTTCAACTCTTATAAGCTATGTGTATTAGTCTGTTAGAGCTGCCATAACAAAATACCACGGTGACTTAAACAACAAAAATTAATTTTCTCATAATTCTGGAGGCTAGAATTCCAAGATCAAGGTGTCAGCAGGGCTGGCTTGCCAGCAACTGCCTTCTCACTGTGTCCTCACATAGCCTTTCCTCTGTGTGTGTACACAGAGAGAGAGAGAGAGATCTCTGATGTATCTTTCTCTTCTTATAAGGACACCAATCCTATTGGATTAGGGCCCCACCCTTATGACCTCATTTAACCTTAATTATCTCCTTAAAGGCCCTATCTCCAAACACAGTCACATTGCAGGTTAGGGCTTCAACATAAGAATTTTGGGGAGAGATAATTCAGTCCATAATGCTATGTGACCTTAGATAAACTCCTTAATTTCTCTAAGCCTTGCTTCTCTCATCCCAATTGTTTGGAGGCAAGAGAGAATTTGATCATTAAATGACAGTAACTGAGATAATATGTGTGAAGCACTTGACACATTATCTGACAGAGTAAAAGTTTCAGTTATTTTCTCCAGAAGCAGACAAGAATTGGAGAGTAAGTAGATTATTTGGGAGGTGAAGGAAACACCAGAAGGCAAGAGGAAAAGTGAGACAGGAAAGGGAAAACGGCCAATAAAATAAAGGGGACATTGTCTAACAAATCCCCATGGGGAGCAACTAGAGCTTCATCCCACTGGGGAAACTCAGGGACCCGTGTAGAACAAACACCACAGAATCACCACCACCCCTAGGGCAAAGGAGCTGGGAGATTTCTGCACCAAAGCCCATCAGTCACTGGTTAATGTCCACTCCCAGGGGTGTTAATCCTCCCACTTCCAGCCTGCTGTGCCTGTGGACAGCAGGCGTGGATACCAGAGAAAACCTTCAGGCAAAGAGTTGCCAATGCTGGCTGTTGGAAGCCCTGTTGACTCTGAAATAGTAAGGCCTGAGGGGATCTGGGCAGGTCTTCCTCTGCCTGCTACAGTGGGCTATCAGGAAACTCTGGTTTTCTCTGTAATGGTGTAGTAGTAATTGTACTAGTAGTTTGAAAAACCCTAGAGATGCTGCTTGACAAAAGGGTTCTAGGGCCAAACAAGTCTAAGGAATGCTTGTTACATGGTCGTCCTCAGAGGAACTTGAAACTAAAACTCTATTGGTGTCCTCTGTTTGAGATCTTAAACTTTTTCTCATCCTGTGATTTCCAAACTTATTTACACAAAGACATTTCCAAGACTTACCTTTTAAGGAATGAAAGTTCTCTGATACATGCTTTGGGGATTATCAATTCTGGCTAATAGAGATGTGACTGTCAAGTATTGCAGAGATGTTTTTAATCTGTTCTCCACTGTAGTCTCAGATCAGTGCCTGACGCAGAGAAGGTGTTCAATAATTGTTTGTTGCAATAGACCCTTAAAGCAATTTCAAAAAAGAATTTGAAGATATTTTCAGTAACAGCAGTCTCATGGAAAATGACTGTCTAGTTCCCAAAATGACTGTTTGAAAGACTTTGAAAGAAAGTTCAACTGAATATCACTTGTTGAAATACTGGCCTAAAGGTTTTTTATTCTCCCGGCTTTGTTGCCCTTCATCTAAATGAAGCAGTGGACTTTCCTGAAAAATGAGGTCCCATGCTGTTAGAATATTGTCCACTTCACAGGGGGGAGAAGCACTTCCTCCCCAGATCCATGTGTGAATGCAGATCAGGAAATTAATGGTACTAATGTCCCTCTGGTCTGATTTTGCTAAAAAGAGTGTTTCAACTTCTATTTCCTCCCCCTACACTTCACCCTTTTATTGGATGCCAAAGTTTGCAGCTGTGACCCCACTATAGGGTGAAAAGAATCAAATTCGAGTACTTCTGACAAGTGCATCCCCTTTAGCCTGATGCCAGGCAGAGCTGGCTATTTGTTAGCCCTCAAATGTCAGCTGGGACCAGTGTGAGTCCTTGTCACTATTTCTCATCCTCTGACAAGACCTAAGGCCTTTTTGAGCCTGATGCAGTTGCTTCAGCTGCAACAAAGCTACGTGAGAAATGGGATTTGCAACAAATAGGCTTTTCTCTGTAGATCACTGCTCCAGCTGGGCATCCCTACTATTTTTATCCAACAGTCCTAAGAATGGCAACATCACTGGCAACTCATTGTTTGTCGATCATTATTACAATGAAAGGTTTGAAACCCTAATTATTACTCATTCTTTGGAGCTGAGATAGAGGCCTGGGGCTGTAAAATAAGTTTGTTTGATTGCCTACTTGATTAGCCACTTGTATACCCAAATGCCCATTTCTTAAGAAGGAATATTTCCTGGGAAATTGCTTATCTTCCTAGCTTTTGTAAAAGGCAGGAGCTAGTACTTAGTAGCATTCTCTTCAGGCCCTACAAATGGAATTGTTAGCATTTCTAGATAAGTTAAGAGTGAAAAGAGGGAACTCTGACCATCCAGGTTCTCAAGAGTTAAGTCCCCCTGGTCTTCTTTGAAGAAAGATAATGTGGAAGAAACAGTCTGTAAAGATGGTCTATCCATACCTGGTAACCCAAAGAGTGGGTTATTATGTTGCTGAGAGGGTTGCTGGTGTCACTTGGAGCCACAGGGGTAGGTAATCAATGTGGATGATACACATTGACAATGGACAGAAGCATTTCTGAGACCAAACTTATTTGGGAAACAAGGGATATGTTGCCTTTCTTTAGTCAGATGTTGGCCTGGCTACTGCTTACCAGTGACCCTCGTTTTGTCATTTAGTCATGTGTCTTCCCCATCCTCTTTGCTGAAAACCCCCTGGAGAGAAACTGTAAAGTCTTCCTAACATCCTTTTGCTGTTTGTCTTCTGTGTTTCCTCTGTGATTTGGTTCATCCTAAGTTCAAGAATAATATCTACATTCTTCTAGGAAATGGTAGTTTTTCTGGAACAAGTGACAGTCTGTGAATGGGGAAGGGAAGGGATAATGATTTTGTCTACAAGACAAGAACCACTGGTACCTTCTTAATGAATAGGGTGGAAAGGGTGAGGAGTTTGGATTCAGACTTAACCATAAGAAGGAATGTCAATTCCTTTATCATCTGAAAGGTTTTTCTTGTCATTTCTCGATAGCCAGCTATAAATTTTTAAAAACCTATGTTCTCAATCATTATGCTACACTGCCCTTACCCAAGGTCAATGTCTTCAGATTACTTCATTCTTGAAGTTTAACTTGATTATTTCTTTACAATCATGTAAACATGTTTATATATTGAAGGTTAAGCACACCAACATGAGATTTGAGGCTTAAAGGCAAATACATAGAGTGCAAATCCAGCTGTGAAAATTTTCTTAATCTGTTTCGTGAGTTCACTTACCAGTCATAATGTAGCGAGAGATCAGTTTCTGGAGTCAGACCTGTGCTCAAATCCCTGCCACACCACCTCTTAGCTCTGTAGCCCTGGGAAAATTACTTAAACTCTCTGTGTCCAATTTTCCTCAACCATAAGAGGAAATTAATAAGACCAAATTCGTGGGGTCGTAAAATTAACAATAAAGTGACCACTAAAACAAAAGCTTTACTCAATTTCTCTTTCCTTTCAGATTTTATTCTACCTCTTTTCCTCACTTTATAGCCAAAATTATTGCAAGAATTGTCTTCATGTGCTTGCTCCATTTCCTTCGCTCTTCCTCTCCTCTTCACCCTACTCCAGTCTGTTTTCTGCCTCAACCTGAATACGTGTTCTTTGCCCCCAAACTTACTATCTTCTTTCTATGTCCCTTAACTCAGTGAATGACACAACCATCTGATCCAGGGATGCATTTATGATGCCTCCCCCTCTCTCCTTATTCAGTCCATTTCCAAATTCTGGCTATTTTACACCTAAATATCTCATAAATCTGGCCTCTTCTCTCCATCTCCATGGCCACCATCACCTCTTGCCTGGACTACTGCAAGAGATTCTTAATTGGTCTACTCTCATCCACCCTGCCACCTATCCGTTCATTGTCTCCACCATGACCAGTGCATCTCCCCTTTGTGGCAAGTTACATTTGTTTACTTGACCATTTGGTTAATTCCTATCTCCCCCACTAGAATGTAAGCTCCATGAGGTCAGATATTGCGTCTGACTTTGCTTACCACTCTGGTGCTTAGCATCAAGTCTGGCATAGAGTGAGGGCTAAGTAAATATCTGTGGAATGAATAAAGCATCTGCCACATAATATGTACTCCTTAAATGGAAGTTCCCATTGTTGTCATTGTCATCATCATCATCCCCATCATCACCAGGTGATTTTTTACAGAAATACTCTTTCCTCTTCAGGTTATAGCAGACTGAACGTTGGGATCTAAGAATAGCTCCCAATATAATGGCGATTTTAGTTGTCATCGCACATTGTACATTGACACTGAATCACGGAGAAGACCTCAATTACTCCTATTGGCTTGTTTGAGCATCAGTTTCCTGATGACTGACTTTCTAGCTTCCTAATGAATATATTAAAATAGAACTCTAGAGATTATAGGTACAGAAGATGTATATTTAGACCTTGGGTTTCTTTCCCTCCCTGCACCCCATCCTCCACTTTGCACAGAGGTTTTAGTGCTAATTTGAGATCATTCTGAAACTTCATCCACTTTATCTTAACATACATATCAACATTTTCCATCTAATTTTGATATAAATACCTCCACAACAATTAAGCTACCTCCTAATTGACTGAATTATCTGTAATTCCTCAGCACTCAGTCTCTTACATCACGCGCCATAAGAGGAAAGAAGGAAATAACCTGTTTTTAGGAGAGGGTTATGGAAAAACTTTGGAAAATAAATAGACATGGATGTCATAATTTCAAGCAGAGCTGTGAGTGCAGAATTTTGTAGAAAAAAAATTAAAAAGTAGAACTGCGGTTATATGACTACTATCTCCACCTTTTGTTTCCTTTTGTGCAGATTGTTTCCCAGAGAAAGCTGTCCAAATCTTTGTTGAAGCACGGGAACACGGCAGGGAAATCCTCCATCACGGTAAGCCCTCCCTAAGCAGCCGTCTGCCCAGGTGCCCAGATGGAGCTGGCTGGTCCAAAACCAATGCGTGGGAAGCAAACCCTCTGGCTATCGGGAGTTGATGCCACAATTGCTCAACTATCAAGTCACCCCTTTCTTTTTTCCTTCTTTCTCCTTCCTCCGCATGCAGTTTTGACCCTCCGACCCCTAGGAAAAAGGTGTAGAAAAAGGATTTGAAAGTGAGGCCATTTCTGCAATTAATATGTAGGTTTTAGCGGGGGACAAAGATGGAGTTGTGAAGCACAGTAAGAATGTGGAGTGGAGGTTTTCAAATCTTCAAAGCTACCTATCCTTGCCTCTCCTTTTTTTGAGAATTAAAAATGTGCTCTAAGAGTTTATACCAAAATCCTTGTCAGGAATTCTCTGTTCTTAGGAGTTAAGGGCTTAGATCCTTATTCTTTCTCTCTCTTTCTCTCTCTTCTGTCTCAGAAAGCTCAGGGACAATCTTTTTAAAAACTATAAATTAGAACATTTCTTTGATAACCATTTAACCATTGATCTGCAAGGGACGTAGGGACCAGTTTATTCCCCCATCCTTTGCTGGTCTGACTCAAAACCGTGGAGAAATATTACTCCTCCTCCTACTTTGTAACTTCCCCTCCACCAAAAAAAAAAAAAATGTGTATATATGTATATATAATTATTTATGGAAGTGCCATCCAGTGCTGTGTGCAATTCTTTTAAAGAAAGAAGCTCTTCCTAACTGCTGCTCCAAGTATCTCTTCCTCCAGCTTACGCCCCATCTCTCATATTCTCAGCTCAGCGTAAATGAAATCTAGTTATCTACTGCTGTCTATTCTAAGGAGTTCTCTTGTACGCCTGGAAATGCTATGCCGTGTTCACTAGGGTTGTGGAAAACTCCTTGCCCAACATCAGTCTTTGTTGATTTTTGGACCAAACAGGAGCTAAATTTGTTCATGAATTCCTTGGCTGAGTGGTCCAACCACTACTGCAGCTGATGCGTGCTTTTCCTATAGGTGATTGCTGAAGAATTATCCGGCAACGATGACTACGTTGAACTTGCATTCAATGCACGGAAATTGGATGACAAGGTAAAGTGTTTGGCATTAACCTTATTGAAGGAAGTAATAAAGCTAGCACACAAAGTTTGATCAGATTTCTCCCTGCAGCTATTTTTTCCCTTTCAACCCACATTATTAAACAGATGAAAGATTTCAGAGAGGTCTGCAAAGTAAGACTTCCTCCCACTTGAGAAGCAGTTAATGAGAAGAGGGAGGAACTATAATTAAAACATGCCAGTTTTATTACACCAAGACTTCATTTGGTGCCCAACTGCCACAGGTCAGATGTGCACAGGTAAATATGATTTAACTCCATTGTTAGGGACATTTCAAAGGAAAAGAGAAGACATGAAAGGAAAGAAAAGCGATATTTATTAAGCACCTATATTTGCCAGGTACAGAGTTAAGAGCTTTTTGTGCACTATCACGTTTAGTCATTTTTATAAATCCTATGTAACAGGTATTAGTAACCCTGTTGCAGATGAGGAAACAGATTCAAAGATGAAGCAGCTTGTCTAAGGTCACTCCATGTGTTAGTCCCGATAACCCAAGAAACAGACACCAAGACAGGATTAAATACGCAAGGATTTTATCAGGAGAAATGCCTGAGTGGGGACCACAGGGAGAACATCTGGGAGAGACGGCAGACTACAATGCAAGTCTGACCATGAGTAAAGGAGAGCGGGAGAGAAGGGTGGGTGGCAGTGTCCTGGAATGCCATGCAGTCTAAGGAAAGTTCAGCAAGGCCATCAAGGAGTCCTAGAGCCAAAATCAGCAGCAAGAGAGTCCCATGTCTCCCATGCCTGCCTTAATGTCCCCTACACACGCAGTCACTGGCTGGAGCAGCCCCTGGGAAGGCTGGCCTCGGTGCAAGTGCAGGGGGGGATTTCAGAGCAGAGCAGCTGGGGCCTCTGGTCTGTTACACTCCCTGTAGTGGGAGGTCTGCAAAGCACATTCTCATGGCCACCATACCCTGCCAGTAAGTGGTAAAACTGAAGTTTCGGTTCCGTGTCAGTCTGACTGCCGTCTGTATTCTTTCTATGGTATCTCACAACTTCCACCTAATCATAGGCCATGTTACTCCTATTTATATAGAAAAAGTTCTGCAGTCTCCAGCCCTTAAAAAAAAGATGTCCTCCCCAACCACACCATATATTTATGATTTCCCTCCAACCATATCCTCAACTCAAAAAAAAAATCACATCAATAAATATGTTCACAAAGGACTCCATTTTCCTGGAGTGCAACTAGAGAATTGGAGATTTGGGGATGTGGCACTACTTTTTCAAACAATTGCTTACAGGCATTAGGCTGGAAAAGGTAAAACGATGTCTCATGTAATTCCCTGAAATCTTAAGCAACAGCTTATATTCTGGCGTATCTCATTCACTTTCACCTACAAAAAGTACTCAGCTTATTTATATATTCATTAATTCACTCTTATTTGTTCATTAATTCACTCATTCATCATTCATTTACCAAACCTTTGTTGCATGCTTGTTATGTATCAGGTGGCAGGAAAAAGACATACTTTAAACCACACTCACACTCACAACCTGGAATTCACCATCTAACTAAGTAAAACAGAAATTGAAACAATGAATGATATAATACTATAGCTGTGATAGGATGTAACTGATGTATAATCAGAGTGTCCTGAAAAGGGTAATTCATTTTGCCTGGGAACATCAGGAAAGACTTTATGCTTATGAACAAATTATATTTGGATTTTTTTAGTGTCCTGATTGTGTAGATTGTGTGAAACTTTCACAAACTGCTCCCTTTTGACATTAGCATGAGCTGGGCTCTGGGAGCTGCAGTGTGCATTGATGTCGGTTGGGTATAAGCTTTTAACCCTACTTCCTTGTGACTGTTATGCTCCTTCTCCCCCATCATCTCCCCAAGTTTCGGAATAATTCACCAAACCACTTTCTAGTCTATTTCTTGGTGCCATTATAAGCCATTGGGTCAGTGGGTAGCAGTTTTAAGCTACTCACTTAATGGCTTATAATGGCTTCTTTCCACTTAGTAGTCTCTCAATTCCCTCTCGTTTGTCCTGTAACTGACTTATGTTGCAGTGCAAAGGGGCTTGGGGGGTTGTTAGTGGGCTCATTGGCTCTAAGGTGTTGAACAGTTTCCCTTCGTTCACATGAACACTTGCTCACAAAACTGAAAGAGCCCCATGTAGCACTTCATATGGTTCTAGATGGCCATTCCCACTCTTTCCTGCACTGATTGTCCAGGGTCCTGGTCGCTGCTCCAGTGCTGTAGACTCCAGGTCCTTCATAATACGGTGGCATCTTACCCAGACTTCTTAGTAATCCAGAGAGGAGCAGGCTCTGTTCAGAACAAAGCGGAGTCCCCTGCTCTAGTTTGGGCTAGAAAGTGAATAGTCTTAGGAGGAAAGAGGGCAAAGTTGTAGAATTAAGGAGTAAGTTGATACCCTGAAGATCATCTCATACAACCTCTTCAGGAAACAAAGGTTCTGCAAGGTCTGATGACTTACCCAAGACACCACTGCTTCACTGGTTATCTATTGCTGCATAACACACTACCTCAAAACCTAGTGACTTAAATTAACAACTATTTTATTGTATGTCCTGATTTTGAGGGTCAGAAATACAGGCAGCGTTCAACTTGGCAATACTTCTGCTCCTTATGATGTTGACAGAAGTCACTCAATGATACTCAGCTGGTGAAGGAGCTTGTTTAGAGATTCCAGTCTAGTTTACTCACATGCCTGGCACATGGGGTGGCTGAAAGGCTGGGCTCAGCTGAGTCGGTCAACTGGAGTGCCTACATAGTGGTCTTGGGTTAGTCACACTTCCTACATGGTGGCTGGCTTCTCCCAGAGAGAGCATCCTGAAAGAACCAGGCAGAAGCTGTGTGGCCTTTTCTGACCTAGCCTTGGAAGTCACGTGTCATCACTTCTGCTGCCTTCTGTTGGTTACAAGTGAGTCATAAGGCCAGCCCAGAGTCAAGGAGAGAGGAGTTAGACTCCAAACCTTGATGAGGGAGTGGCAAAGTCATATTGTAGAAAAGCGTGTGTACACTGGACATTGTGATGGCCATTGTTGGAAGATACAATCTTCCACCATATTTTTGTGATAGAACCAGAAGACGACAATATAATTATTTCATGTCACAGATGGAAAAATAGTTCTCAGAGGTTCTCAAGGAAGACCTCTTTCTATATTTTAGCATTAAATGATGTTGTAGCTACCTACATTTTAGCAGTTGAACTTATCATATCTATTAATTGAGAAAATATATCATGACTAAAAGTCACCAAGATAAATAAATCTATTAATTAAAAAAAAATTTTTAATTAGTATCATGAGAGCAACTAATTTCTATATACATGTGAAAACTTGCAGTGTGAATATGTGGGGAAAATATGCTGTATCCAATTCAGACAATGGTTATAGGAGATCTGGATCCCCAGTCCTTTTGCAGTAATTCTGGTAATCCCCAGGTATCCAAACACCTCAGGTAGGAAGCCTCTAGTCTAATACAATTGCCTTCTTTTACAGATGAGAACATCAAGGTTCAGAGATGTGAAATGACTTACCCAAGGCCACACACACACACACACACACACTCGCAAATAATCAATGACAGAGAGGGACTCAATCTGGTTGCCTAAATAAAATCTAAATCTTCCTTCAGGGCAGAGGGTTAATGAATACAAGTTGGATTGATCTCAGGATACAGTGGACTTGGTAATATTCCCATGTATTTCGAGGAAGTAGAAAGCCAGGGAGAAGGGAGTTGAGGGTGTGCAATAGGCGGCAGTCCTCAAAGTGTGGTCCAAGGTCACAAGACCCTTTCAGGGAATACATGAGGTCAAAACTATTTTCATAATAGTACAAAGACATTATTGTCCTTCTTCACTCTCATTCTCTCACACACGTGCAATGGTTTTCCAGAAGCTACATGATGCCTAATATCACAACAGATTGAATGTAAAAGCAGATATGAGAATCCTGCTGCCTTCTATTAAACCAGTCATTAAGTTGATTTGCAAAACTGTAAAATAATACCATTCTTCTGACTATGTTTTAAATTTGGAAAATATAATTATTTTCCATTAAAGGTGCTATTTTTGTTATGATATAGTGGGTTTATTTTTATTATTTTTAAAAGGATGCAACAAATGAATATTTTTTAAATTTCCATTTTAATTTATAATGTACTAAATATTAATAGATGTAACCCTCATAAACAAAGGCTCTTTGGGGTCTTTGATAAATTTTAAGAGTGTAAAGGGGTCCTAAGACCAAAAAGTTTGAGAACCACTGTTGTAGGGTATACTGGGAAGCACTAAGTACTTTTGTAAACTGCAATGACAAAGAAATGCCTCTTTTCTTTTGATAGAAATAGTCATTTTTAACTTGCCTTTCCAATGCTGTTCAGCAGACCAGCAGCCATCTACCTAAGATGGAAATCCAGAGTCCTTGAAGTCTGAGAGGTAGTCTTCAATGAGAGCCACACATTAGCAAATCTAACAAAGTAGATTAGGCTTGCAAGAAAAAACTTATTTATCTAACGTTAATGCATTTCACTTAGTGGAGAGAGGAGCTTTCTAACTTCTAAAGCACATTTATTACATTAGCACCTAGTTGGCAATTAATCTAACAAGTGGAGATATGAATGTAATTACTTTGGAACATTCAAGCTGACGAAGTATTTTTTCTCCTCCCTTTCCTGAGAAAGTATGCACATTGGTGTGTTGGAACTGACTCTTTACACTGGTGGTCTCCACATCTGTAATAGTAATCATTATAGACTGCATTTTTCGTGTTCCCATGATGCTAGTTTGATGGAGTGCTGCATAAGCAAACAAACCTGTCTCTAAATCAGAGGTCGGCAAACTTTTTCTATAAAGGGCCAGATGGTAAATATTTTAGACTTTGCAGGCCATATAGTCTCTGCCCCAACTACTCAGCATTGCCTATGAAGCACAAAAACAGCCATAGACAATACATAAATGAATGAGTGTGGCAGTGTTCCAATAAAACTGTATTCACAAAAACAGTCAGTGGGCCGGATTTGGGCCACACACCATAATTTTCTGACCCCTGTTCTAAGCAATGTTAAATCTCTACTTACTATACTGCAGTAGATTTTACTGTGTTCGAGTATGAAAACTAATCCAGCCTGCATTAATGATAGCAAGTTATAATTAATGAGCATTTACAATGTACCGGGTGTCAAGTGTCTAAGCTACATTATCCCCAAAACTCATAACTCTATTCTCAAAGGTGAGTATTATTATTTCCATTTTACAGATGAAGCATAATAAGGTTAAATGATTTGCCCAAATTCACAAGGCTAGGAGACTGTGGAGTCTGGATATGACCCCACATCTTTCAGACAATCTTTTCTAGTTTCAATATTCTATTTTCAAGATCACCGTCTTGGAAATGCACTGCTTCCTTTTCTATTCCAAATCTCAGTTGATTGCTTATTGCCCTCTCGCTTGACTCAATTTCTTTCACATTGGACTAAAAGGGCAGATCAATATGGCCTCCAAGTTATTAAAAAATTTCACCATACCAAACTTCAGTATGCCTATATTATTAATCTTCATTGCACTAAACTGTCCCAAGGGCCATCTTAATGCTGATGGTCAAACAAAGAAAGCTGAAAATTCCAGATTGTGGTCAGGTAGCCATGCTGTTAGACCCAGAGTTCTTGTTGTTGTTTTTTTTTTATAATTTTATTTATTTATTTATTTTTCCCCAAAGCCCCAGTAGATAGTTGTATGTCGTAGTTGCACGTCCTTCTAGTTGCTGTATGTGGGACGTGGCCTCAGCATGGCCGGAGAAGCGGTGCGTCGGTGCGCGCCCGGGATCCAAACCCCGGCCGCCAGCAGCAGAGCGTGTGCACTTAACCGCTAAGCCACGGGGCCGGCCCAAGAGTTCCTGTTTTTAAGCTACAAATTTCTGACAGTACATTTACGATATTTTTGAGCTGCTTGTGAGTTGTCTTATTTCTAGGAATCAGATGCCTTCTTAATAGTAATCATCCCTGATATTTGTATAGTGCTTTACAAAGTGTCCTCATGCGTTCTCTCTTTTACTGATAATCATCATAGCAGCAACATTCTTTGAGTGCTTATACTTTTTTTTAAAATTTTTTATTTTTATTTATTTTATTTTTTTCCCCCAAAGCCCCAGTAGATAGTTGTATGTCATAGCTGCACATCCTTCTAGTTGCTGTATGTGGGATGCGGCCTCAGCATGGCTAGACAAGCGGTGCGTTGGTGCGCGCCCGGGATCCAAACCCGGGCCACCAGCAGCGGAGCCGGCGCACTTGACTGCTAAGCTGCAGGGCCGGCCCTAGTGCTTATACTTTTTGAATGCCAGGTGCTAGACTCAACACTTCACGTGCATCAGCTCCTCTAATTCTTCCACATTGCCATGAGGCAAAAGGTGGTACCCTCTACATTTATGGATAAGGAAGCTGAGACTTGAGGAAATTAAGTATCTTACCCCAGATCATCCAGATTGTATATGGTGGAATCAGGATTTGAAAGCGCTCCTAAAGCCAGTGTGGTGCATGTTAGATTTTCAATTACTTAAGGGCAGAGATTGTATCTGATCTTTCTTTCCTTGATTTATAATAAGTCCTCCTGACAGCAACTCCGTGCTAACCATAAATAATATTTTAAAATAATGTCAAATAAAATAGACGAAGCATTGCAATATACTACCAAGAGAAAAAAATAGGGGACTAAATATATAGAGTATGATTATAGTATACTCTATATACTCTATAGTATATAGAGTATGATTACAAATATATTTTTTTAAAAGGAAAATTTTGTTTAGATTCTAGAAAAACATTTACTAAAATGTTATTGATAGTTGTGGAATTATGAGCAAGATTATGGACTATTTTTTTCCTTTTTTCTATTTTAGACACCTTTTTTCTATTTTTAAACAAAAATGATTTAAAAAAAAGTTTAAAATTATCATAAAAGGAAAAATAAAAGTAGCTGAGTTCCTCCAGTGTGGTTAGCAATTTTTATGTACAATTCACACATTCTCGAGGGATCAACAATCTATTTAAGGAGGCAAAGGCTGAAGCTCCTAGAGAAGGAACCCAAGAACACCTAAGAACAAGCTAATGGGGCCCACACCCGTTAGGGAAGGGGGTGGAGAGGGAGGTTCCAGTTCTTCGAGGTGAGTGTTGAAACAGAAATAGGCTCGAGGGGCGCATGTCTTGAGTAAATCTGTAGAGGTAGGAATCAGCTAGAAGTTTGTCTTGGAGGGAAAAGGGGCCATTTTGATGGAGAGACAAGGTTTGCAGCGCAGACTCATTGATGAAAGCAGCCATTGTGGGTTCTTGACAGGATGAAGGCTGCCGTAATCAGGCACCTTCAGAAATAGAGCAGAAGGGTATTTTCCAGACTCTGGGTGTTTTGGACCAAGGCGTTCGGTTCCTGGTTGGGTCGGGAGGACAGCCAAGGGGAAGACAGATATCCCTACCTCCCATCGCTTCTCTTTCTAAGCTATCCCACAAAGTTTCTAGACTGATATTCTTCACTACAGGGCCAATCATATTATTTTCCTGCTCAAAATCCTTCAGTGACTCCCCACTGCCTCTCAGGGCAAGTGCAAGGACTTCAGATGAGCATTTAAGGCCCTTCACATCATGGAGCAGGCTTTGCCAGCATTGTCTCAAACTCCTCCCCTACGTCCTTAGGCTGCAGTGTAACTAACTACTTGGTGGGCCCCCTTTATGTTTACTCTTTCACAGCTTCATTCAGTCTGTTCCCTCCCTAGAAATATACTCCTCACAACCATATTTTCCAGTCAAAATCCATCAACTCCCCCTCTTCTCTGTTACACATTTATTCATTCATTCATTCATTCTTACTTAGCCCTTGGTTATGTTTATTTGTGTACTTGTCTTTCCACCAATCTAGATGGTACTTTGGAGGACTGAGAAGAGATTATCCATCCTTATATCTTAACATCAAACACAAAGTTTCCATGATCAGTATATCCTCTGAGAATATTTTGTTGAGCTGTAGACTAGGATGGCTATAGGCTTTATTCTGCTTTGCTGCAGTCTAGATTTCTCAGGGGAAAAAATCACCTGGTGAAATACATAATAAGAGTGTGATGACTAAGTCTGTTGCTCAGATAGCCTCCTATTCTATACCATTTCTTTCTTTTATTTATGTATTCATTCATACATTCAATAAACACTATGTACCACTAAAAGCTAGACGCTATAAAAAATGCTGAGGAAATGGTAGAAATAGAAAAGAAAATAAGACATAGTTCCTCCTCTCTGAGAGTTTATAATCTATTGGGGTAAAAATCAAGTTTAAAAGAAGGATATGGATAGGTCTGCTTCCAGTAATAAAGTACCTGTTTGTTTTACATTATTCTCCCACTGAAAACAACTATAAACACTGGATAAGATACAAGAGACATCTGTTTGAGAATCCTAAGGCAGTCAAGATTTGAGGGGCCAAGAAACTGGAGAGAAGAGAGATTCATTGGGGTGATACAGACATTCTATGCATATTTTCCACTCAAGACAATTCCTCAAGGCTGATTCGTAAAATACTGTGGATAGACAAGCTGGGACGCCTAGCAGAAAATAGCTACTAAGAAATAGAGAAATTGAGCAGAGGAACTGGGGAAGCAAGGTGAAGTCCAGGTTACTGAGAAAACTAGGGCTAAAGATTCATAGATGCTTCAGAGAAGGGAAGTAGTCCAACAGTCTGAGTGACTTATCCTCTCAGGCGTTCACTAATTAGCAAATAGCAGCATAGAGAGAAACTGAACAAAAAGCTAGAGCCAAGAGATTATGGAGATAAACAGAGCCTTTGAGAATCTCACAAATGAAAATTAGCGTTGAGGGCTTGTCAAGGAGGAACAGCTCTCATAAACATTCAGCCTTTCAGTTGGAGCCCTTTAAGGATTATACCCGAGGAGTAAAGGAATCAGAAATAGATGGGGCCTTTACAGACTTAAAAAAACCAACTTCTAAATAGCTCAGTGACTGCCTCCATTCTAACTGCTTGCCAGGAGCTACAGACTCATCTAAATCCTTTATAATCTTTTTTACACAATGTCTAGTGTTTAATAAAAAGCAAACAAGCATACCAAGAGTCAGAGCCAAGAGACAGATAATAAAAACAGACCCATAGGTGATCCAGATATTGTAGTCATGAGATGTAGGCTTTATAATAACTGTAATTAACATGTTTAAGACAGAAGATACATTGCTTCTCAAAGAACTGGCATTTGAATTGATCTTTGAAGAATACTTTGGATTTCAATCACCCAAGTTCTTGCTTCTCAGAGGACTTGGAGTTCAGATGCAGCTCATTCTAGCCAAGGGTGGGTCGGAGGGATGAAGAATAAAGCAGGGAAGGGTCAGATCCAAGGTATTTGATCCAGGGCTGGATCAAATGTGTTTGTGCAGGGGGGGAGGGAAAAACTCATTTCTGTTTATCTGTCTATTTTAGGATTTCTTCAGTAAATCTGACCCATTTCTGGAAATTTTTCGTATGAATGATGATGCAACTCAGCAGCTCGTGCACCGAACTGAGGTGAGAAGAGACATCTTCAGCTGAGCCATCTCATCTCCTAAGATGATGAATTGACCTGTGTTGAGAAACCCCTTACATTTCTTTCTTTCTTTTTTTTTTTTGTGAGGAAGATCAGCCCTAAGCTAACATCTGATGCCAATCCTCCTCTTTTTTGTTGAGGAAGATTGGCCCTGAGCTAACATCCGTGCCCATCTTCCTCTAGCTTATATGGGATGCTGCCACAGCATGGCTGGAAAGGAGTGCATCGGTGCGCGCCCGGGAGCCAAACCCGCGAACCCCGGGCCGCCGCAGCAGAGTGCATGCACTTAACCGCCTGTGCCACGGGACCGGCCCCCCTTACATTTCTTAATGTCTGTAGCTATGCACTCAGACCTGGAGTCCTCACTGTCCTCAAAAGGACTCTTTACTCTCAATTTAGATGTTAGAAGAGAAGACCCTCTCTCACCCAAATTTTTCATTATTGACCTTCAATGCAGACAGCAACTTATTAATAATAAAAATATGAATGCTAGCTAAGATTTAATGAGAGTGACTAGGTGCTAAGCCTTGCACTCAGTGATTTTATATGCATTATTTTATTTACTTCTCACAACAATCCCTTCACATGATTATGATTACCCCCATTTTACAGTTGAATAAACTGAACTTTTAGAAAGTCAAGTCACTTTCTCAATTCTCACAGTTAGCAAGGGGTGGAGCTGAGGTTTGAATTGAGTTTGTTTGACCCTGAGCCAATTTCCACTTTTTATTTTATTTACAAGCTAGTCCAAGAGAGATTCTGTGGGGGTGAGAAGTACGTTGATAAGGAGGAAGTGGGGTAGTTGTGATGAATGACGTGGAGCTGGGAGAACACTCTGTTGTGCTTACACGCCACTGGAGGGGTAAAGGAAGAAGGAACCCTCGTGACTTTCATAGGGTGATGGTAGGGTGCCATGTTCCCACTACCCCACACTAGAAATCCAGTTCCATCGGAAGTAATAGAGTTGCAGGTAGCATTAGGGGAACTTTTCATGTCATACTTAAGGTAGACAAGAATTAAATAGTCTTGGATGGGCTAGTATGTGGATATCATCTGGTGCATAGTTGGCATTTAATAAAATGTGTTTAATAAAAGCATGAATAAATGAATGCACTTGAGTATAGAAAGTATGTCCACTACATGTTATAGTACAATGTGATTCTGTGGAACTTAATCCCTTGGGAATAGTTTGAGGTGCAAGTGGGATATTTTCCCTGAGTGGCACCCCATCACCACCACCAAATAGAGTCATTATCACACATAAAGATTTCTCTGGTGAAACAAACTTCTCTCAGGAGAAGTAAATAAGAGAAGCAGTATCCATTCGAGCTTTTGCTCCAGTCAGTGAAGGGGCCTTAATGTGCAGGGAGAGAGGAGGTGAGTGGGGTATTGTCGGACTTCTCTCACAAGATCCTCCTCTCCTTTGCTCCTGACAGCATTCCTCTTCTCATTATTGATGTTGGTAAATGCTCCTATTCCCAAGAATCTCTAGAACTTTCCTCCATATGCCATTGCTGAGGGGGTCCTGGAGTCTCACAAGAAATGTGATTGTAAAGTTTTCCAGAGAGTCAAGCAACATAACATTGATTTTTCCTCTTTCTTACTCGATAGATACAAAATCAATACCAGAAAATACTGTTCTCTTGGGGGAAGCACACATATACACACACATACAGAGAGACAGATTTTAATTTCAGAGGAAATTTCTATTTGAAAGTTTGATCTGCAAAAGTTTTTCAAAACTGTTGCAATGGAATGTCTTCACTTCCTATTATTTTTCTATAAAGGGGAGAATTTAAATTAGCCCAAACAATTTTACCTAACCTTTCTTCTCACCATCACTCTGATCATCCCCAGGGTATCAGAGCACAAGACCAAGTCACACAGAAACATTATTTTTCTACTTTGATGCGTTAGAAGAAACTTAATAATGAGTCCATGATATAATCAATAATTCATACTTATATTAAGGAATCCAGTACAAGAGAGACTCACATAAAATAATTATGTGATTTAGAGAATTAATTTTTTTATAATACTCAGACTTCTGCTACATGAAAACTTCATAGGAAGAAAAGTCAGTATGACAGAATTCCATTGAACTCTATTTGTATGTCCCCTAGAGCAGTGGTTCTCAGAGTTCATGCATCAGAATCACCTCAGGGGCCTACCTCCAGAGTTTTTGTCAGTAGGTCTCAGGTGAGCCTAGGAGTGTGCATTTTTAACAGCTTCCCAGGTGATGCGGCTCCTGCTGGTCCAAGAACCACACCTTGGGAACCCCTGCCCTAGGGTACACAGTACAATCCTAGGCACAAAACAGATACTCAGACATTCTAAACCAAATTAAATTATTTAAATTTTGAATCATAGTGATGGCAGGAACAGACTTGACTCGTGTGAACACTTGGGCAGAATTTAGCCAAGTTCATAATTAGTAAGCTGCTTTTGAAAGGGTTTCATTATGTTATAGACTTAGTTTGTAACACTGAAGATCTGAGATCTGCCCTGTTGTGCCTTACTAGGATATTCTAATTGAGATGGTGATAAGCTATGTCAGTATGCTCCTGAGATTTTTCTTCTAGAAACCTCCTCTGACTTGCAATCTGATCTAACTCAAGGTCACAGGTTACTAAAGACCATTCAATTCTTTAGCAGTAGAATTGTCTTGCCACACACCCCCACACCCACTAATAGTCTTTACCTATGCTGACCTCAATAGAAAAGAATTCATGCCATAGGACTGACAGTTCTGCAGAAGTGGGGATCCTTTATCAAAGGCCAGAGGCAGCCCCACCTCCTTAATCCCAGCCCCTTTTGATATAGAAGGGGTCATCCCAGCATCCACATACCGGACAATTTATTGTCATTATTCATGAAACAATAGCCAACCCACTGACGGCAGGAATTCTGCCTATAATGACCTACTTAGTGGGCACGCTTAAAAGATTTACTATTCCAAGTTTTCATTAAGGCACCTGTTCCAGACAATTGTCCTTTTCATAAGAACCACAGTGCTTCTCAAGCAATTTTTATGTTGAAATGTGAAATGTCAAGCATTTCCTCCCTCACCCACCACCCTTGCCTTTCTTTTCTCAGGTTGTGATGAATAACTTAAGCCCAGCCTGGAAATCATTCAAAGTATCAGTAAATTCTCTATGCAGTGGAGATCCAGACCGCCGACTGAAGGTCAGAAATCTATCTATGTCCAAGAAATGCAATTATTTATGTATTTAACCCTTCTCTTTCCCCTAAGTGACTGGTGGCAAACCCAGACTTTTCTGTACCATTTACCCAAATCTCTTCGCATCTTAATGGAAGAATCAGGGCCTATTTCTTTTGCTAGAGCCATTGAAGCTCGTGAGACAGCCCAAGATAAATCCCAGTTGTGTTATATCAAGAGGCAAAGCCCATGGCTTCTCAGAGACAAACTGTGGCAATAAGTTCAGGGTATAATTGGGAGTTATTAAAAACACAAATATTGCTGTATCAATTGTTTATTGTTGCATAACAGACTACTCCAAAATTTAGTGGCTTTAGACAATAACCATTTTTTTAGCCTATGATTCTGTGCATTGGCAAGTTGAGTTCATCAAGGAGGTTTTTCTGTTGGTCTTGCTTGGACTCCTTCATGCATTTGCAGTCAGCTGTATATGAGCAGGGTGGCTTTTGGGTTTGGGTGGCTATCATCTGGAACGATTGGGGTGAGTGGGCCATTTGTCTCTCATCTTCTAACAGGCTAGCTTGGATTCATACGCACAGTGAACTTAGGGTTCCAAAAAACAAGAACGGAAGCTGCAAGCTCCCTTGAGGCCCAGTCTCAGTACTCACACAAGGTCACTTCCTCTGCATTCTATTCACCAAAGCAAGTCATATGGCCATCCCAAGTTCGAAGGGCAAGGAAATAGATTCCATGTTTTGATGAGAGGAGCTACAAAGTATTGTGGCCATTTTTTTCAATCTAAACAAATGCTTTTTGAATATCATAGGAATGTAGAAGTTGAAAGAAAAGATGCATTGTGAGGGTCAGATGACCAAAGAAAGACAACAGGCTGAATGCCAGAACCAAACTCCAGGAGGCATTCTCAATGGTCCATGGTCTGGCCCTCCCTCTACCTTGGAAGTCCAGAAGTTCCATGTTGTCAGTGCCCCAGAATTGATTCTACCGACTCAGGATGACTAAGTAAGTTCAGTAGAGACTGGAGCCTACAAACTGAAAGGCTGATTGATTCGTGTTCAGTGAGAAACACGATCATTAGGCAGACTCAGCATCCATAGCAGTTTCACCAGGGCATTTTCTCCATTAGGGCAAACCGTGAGGAAGCTGATTGTCAGAAGGTTGCTGTGATAGCCTGAAAGCAGAGCCAAGGGTGCTGGATAACAGAGGTGGTTAATGGCTTCAGACCCTGAAAGCCTGGGCATCTACCTCCGCTATGGGGGTGTAGGTCCATCAGGGAGACTGAGCATTCACATTAACCTTTCAGGCCACCTAATCCTCTGGAGAGTGTTAGATGGGCACCACCCATGTCTGTCTTTATAACTTTACATTTTCCTCACTCTTTTTGCCCCACAAACTTTCTTTTGGTGGGTATAATTCTTTTGATTTGTCAATATTATCAATTAGATTAGAATCCTATCTGATTGGTTAGTTGCAGAGTCTTTAACACTTATATATAACCTTATATATCTTTGCTTAAGACCGTTCTGGGTGGATTTTGTGGTTGAACTCTCAGCAGACATGCTTGCTTTCATGTTCTTGAGGAGCAACTGAGAGTTGTCCCTACTATCTCCTGTAAGAGCCAAGATATTTCAAGCCCCAGTCCCCATTGGAACTGTGTTTCATGCCAAAATCAGGACCCTGGCTCTTTGGGCCTTCGTGTGTAAGCTCATATGCAGAATGCCAAAAGCTAGAGCTTTAGCCATGGGGTGGGGATTATTACCTATACCATGAGCAGCACTCCACTCCCATGGAGGTAAATGGCCCCTTTTGGGCAGAAATAAAATAATGCCTCCATCAGCCATAGATCAACTTTGTCATAGAGAGTTATTAACTGGATGAAAAGAGAGGTTAACTGTAATTGAATCAATAAAAATGCAGAAGAGCACTTTGTGGCCTCTTGAGTGCTCTGCTGTCTGTAGAGGAACAAGTGGGAGTAAACTAGTTGATAGAGAGAGAGAGAAAGAAAAAGAGAATAAGATAAAGAGAAGAAAGTAAGGAAGGAAAGAAGGGAGGGAGGGAGGGAGGAAAAGAAAGGGAGGAAGGGAGGAAGAAAGGATCAGGGTTTCTCAACAGCTGCACTGTTGACATTTGGGTTTTGCTGCGGGGTCTGTCCTGCGCATCGTGGGCTGTTCAGCAGCATCCCTGGCTGCTAGCTGCTAGTAGTACTCCACCCGCATCAGTCTTACAGCCAAAAGTGTATTCGGACATTGCTAAATGTTCTCTGGAGAGTAAAATTGCTTCGATTGAGAACTGCTGGTATAGAGCAATGGTTTTAAAACTCAGTATACATCAGGGTCACCTAGAAGGCTTGTTAAAACACAGAATGCTGAAGCTTACCCCCAGAGTTTCTGATTCAGGGGGTCTGGGGTGGGCCTGAGAATTTGCATTATAACAAGTTCCTGGGTGGTGCCGATGCCGCTGGTCCCGGCCTACGCTTTGAGAACACCGGGTACAGACATTTGCTGCTTCATTACAACCCATCCATGGCTTAGTGCCCCCACACCGCTTTCCACCACCCAGTCTCCCTGCTTCCACCTTCTCTGCCCAGCAGTCGTACCTCTCCTGCACTCTCCCCGCCTTCTCTACCTGGGATGCCTTCCTCATTCTTCTCCTTTTCTTGAAACATGCTACTTTCCTTCAGGTCTCTTAAATCTACCTCCACTCCCAGAAAACCTTCCTTGATCTCTTTAGCATCTGTGGGGTGGTTTCTAGCCCTCTCTACCCACCCCCTTAAAATACTTCTCAACCTGTTTTGAAAATGTCTGTTTACGTATGTTTCGCCAGCGGATGACTAGTTCTTTCTGGTTTGCTCCTTCAGGGTGAGAACCATGTTGTGTTCACTGTGTATGCAGGTATCTAGCGCAGTGCTTGACAGAGTAGATAACCAGTAACTGTTTCTAGAGTTAAAGGGTAGAGCAGCAAGGGAGGTACTGAGAGTTCAGCAGGGCCTATCCAGCCTTACTGTAGGGGGGTGTTGCCCCACATAGGTGTGTTGGAGTTTACTGGGCCACAAGGCCAATATTGCATTCGTGTGCTTACAATAACCAAATGCAGCTTTTCTGAAAGGCAGGATAGACTTCTTGTACTGCCCTTCATTAGTATTGATTATTTTGCTACAAAGGCCACTGAGAAATTCTCATAATGCTGCCCCTAGCCGGCTTTCTGTGACATAAAATGACACCGTATTAGCAGGCAGCATCTCTGTCCATATGGTATCATTCTCCTCACCACCAAAAAAATTAGAAAGTGCATTTGAAAATTTTTAAATTTAAAAACCCTCTGTCAGGATAGATTTTAAATCTTAGCAAAATTTTAACAATTAGGTCTTTGTCCCAAATGAGTTTTGATATCTTTAATTCTCATCCGAATAAAAACCAAGTTCAAATAACCAGCTTTTTCTTTTGGTTTTATTTATTTATTCCATATTCCTCCTTTGTGGAAAAAAAATAAAAACAATATTTAGATAAGTCTTTTTCAGAATTTGATGTGTTAACTTATTATAGAAACTTTCAAACATACATAAAAGTAGAAAGACAATATGATAACCCCCATGCCCATCACACAGCTTACACGACTATTAACTCATGGCCAATTTTATTTCACTCACACCTGCCAACACCCATTTTCCCCCTCCCTCTCCACACTGGATCATTTTGAAGCAAATTCCAGACCAGGGCCGACTCATCCATTAGGCTTTGCAAGCATAGTGCCAGGGCCCACCATACTTTTTAGAAGCCTACAAAGTTGTTTTAATTTCTTTTAAAATCAGAAGAAAAAAACGAACTTGCAAGATTGAATAAGATGTTTTAATCTTTTTCTCACCTCAGAAAACTATGACATTTTTAGGATCCCGAAAGTCTATTACAGTGGGAGGGAGCCCATGAAGGCAAAAGTGCCTAGGACCAGTGAAAGTCATGATGTAGCCTTGTCCCAAATATCCTATCGTTTCATCTGAAAATACTTCAGTGTGTATCTCTAAAGGGTAAGGAATCTTTCTATAAACATACCCTCAAAATCATTATCATATCTAAGAATACTAACTAAGCTTCCTTAATGCCACCAACTATTCCACTACTATTCGTACTTGACTGATTGCCTCATTTATTAAAAAATTGAGGGTTTTTTTTTTTCAAATTGGGCCTAAACAAGGTTCAAGCATTGCATTTTACTTAAATGTCTCTGAAGCCTCTTTTAATCTGGTAGTTCCCTGTCTCTCGCACATTTTTTTCCTTGCAACTTAATTATTGAAGAAACCAGGTTAGTTTATTCTGTAGTGTTTCTCACATTCTATATTCCCTATAAATGGGTAGCTGGGACTTGATCAGATTTAGGGTCTGTTTTCTAGCACGAATGTTTTACAAGCGATGAGGCTCTCTCATGATATTAGCAATCATTGAGGAACATTACCTCGATTCGTTATTTCATTAGGGTTTCCAAAATGGTAATTTCCTAATTCTGTCGTTGCTTCTTTATCTATTATTTAGAGTTCTTCTATAAAGAAAACCCCCCGCTTCGAGAACTATTTGGTTCCCTGAGGTGTGATTTGTACAGGAAAGCCAGGAAAAATGCTTTATTTTTCCTTATGATTATTATTATGTTTTTAATAATCTTATTGAGGTCATATTGGCTTATAACATTGTGTAAATTTCAGGTGTACATTGTTATATTTCAGTTTCTGTATAGACTGCGTTGTGTTCACCACCATAGTCTAATTTTTATCCATCACCATACATATGTGCCCCTTTACCCCCTCCCCCCCGTCCCTTTCCCCTCACGTAACCACCAATCTGTTCTTATCTATGCATTTGTTTGCTTATTTTCCACATATGAGTGAAATCATACGGTATTTGTCCTTTTTATTTTTTAACCAATTTTCAGAATAACAAGTTACTTCTCTAGCATCCTCCATAAGTGCCAGTGAGATCCCCAGTATTATTGAGAATTCATGGATTTTTCTATATATTCAAGT